AGGATGGGAGTGACGCCGATTCTTCCAAACATGAGCCCCGGTGGTTTTTTCGGGTGCGGCCTCCCCGATTTTCGGCCTTTGTTCGCCACAAGAAACGACAGAAAAACGTTTTATACAGCGTCTCCCATAACTAATCGTCAAAAATATAACGCGCAACAACGGAAACAGAGCTACAGGAGGGTTTTTGACATCTGCCACTGTCTAAAGTATTTTTGGTGCGTCCCAGCTTGATCGAAAATACCTACCTGTCAAAACGTCATCTCGCAACTCACTAGGAGCATTTGACATTTTGGTGACAGTACTGTGACTGGCACGCCAGAAGCGGCTAATTGTAGCCCCCTCGGAATACAACGTTGCCAGTATCTAATGTTATGTCAGGTATCGTGTCAAATCTTAAAAAGGTGAGGTTAGAACTGTTAAAAGTGGGAAGTGAAGTGGTTTGGTTTATGTCTGACCACGCTTTGACTTGATTGTGTCGAAGTAGTATCAGTGGTCTGTCGTAATAACGTACAAATAATAACTTTTATACCATTCTTTTTATATCATTAGTTATGATGGAAGAGAAGAGATGTCTATTTCCAATGTTTGCAGTATTTGTCAAAAAAGCTTTTCAACACAAGGAAATCTCAATAAACATTATCGTACAAATCATGGTACAATAATTTATTTTATCGATATCTTAAATAACTCGGTAAATCTTTCTCATTCTCTATCTCTCTCTTTCTATAATAACGCCTCAAATCAGCTGAAATCTGGCAACAATGTATTCCAAGGGGGCTACAAATAGCCGCTCCCGGCACGCCTTGCGCCGTTGTCACGCATCCCAAATCATCCCTAAGTAAGTAAATTCCGCGCAGTTTTACCCCCGATAGAGAAAGATATTGGCTGACTGTTGAAAACTAATCACCGCAGTCAGAACAGATCGACTGATCGATTCCCATGATCAATGCGTGCGTATTATGACAGATCCTATCGCTGGAATGCAACCTGACTTATTGAAACATTTGAAGCGAACGGTCCACCTATTTGGCCGGATCTATGTTTTCTCGACTCTACATGGGTCAATCGTTATCTATTGACAGAAATGGATGCTCTGTGATGGTATCTCGCGGCAAATTAAACGTTTAGCTCGAAAAGTAATTGATGGGCGCCGGAAAACCCGAACGAAACTGTACCGGATCCAGCAATTAACCGGAAAAAGTCCTAAAAAACCTAATTAAAAACCTTCCAATGGCTCAAGGGTAACGATGAGATGAATCGACGTTCGCTCTTCAAGGTTTTGCATTCTATTGCCGGAACAACTCACCATTGAGCAACAATTAACATCGGAAAAATAGGAAATTTCGGAATTTTTCGGGTGCTTTGGATCGGCCGCGATACGCGCAACCCACCAAATGACAAAGCCGTGTTTAAAAAATTAGCCGATCATATTTCTAAGCGGCAGCTACAGAGATTAGACCGGCTCCAAACACGGAAAACTAATATTAATCCCGTGTACCGCATCCGAAATGGACGAGGGTCCATTAGTGTTGCACAAGACACCGATGGCTTTTTAACTAATGGTTTCGCTGGTACAATCGGTGCCCGGAAGCTAATTAGTTGCGTGGGCCGTCGGATTAGAGCAAGTTTTAACAGGCGGGCACGCGAATGCTTCGACACTTTTGAGGGTGCGATCGGACGCTTTTGACCAGTCCACTTACGTACATCTGACCATAAAATACCACACGGGTTTGTTTCTTTTGCTACGGTTTGTTTTTAATTAGCTGCTAATTCATCAACATCATTTTAATAGATCGGTTCGGAAGATTTTAATAGATCGGTCTTTTCTCCTTCAAGATTTAAACCTCAAAATTTTACAAGTT